GAGCTCCTACCAAACCCTAACAGGTCATCCTGAAGCCTTCTCTTTGTCAAGCAAATGGGGTTGAAGCTGGAGTTGAGCACTGAGAGTGTCCTTCCCTCAGTGGGTTCCCTGCATTTCCCAGACATGATGGTATTAAACCATCCAAACCTCCAGCTTAGGGGACACAGCAAGACATTCCCCCAAACTGAGACCAGGCCCACATGCCTGTGGCTCCTTAAGCAGTGTGCAAGTTCCCTGGATCTCACCCTGAAGGCATTAGCTCCTCAAGTACTATATGGCTTGTATAGCTTGCACATTTTCCCTTGAAAGAAGTACCCAGATTTATCTATGGGGGTCAAGAACCTAACAATAAAATTCCATTGCAGCACCTGGCATCATGCCCTCACATTTAATCCTTATTCCCTTTCCTACATGTTTCCTGTTGATTAGGCTCAGTGACTTCCTGCCCAGGGACCATTCTTTGGTCAAACCTGGTGTGATAATGAGGGCACTAACCTCAAGGTTAAACTGGCAGAATGTCTAAAAGTTTGGTGTTACAGATCTGGTGTGTATTAATTCATGCCAACAAAAAGACATCAAAATTCTCAGCTATTATCCCAATACTCTCATGTGTGTTCCCCTTGTATCTAAGCAAACAGAGATTTGGGATCATTTGCAAGTACAAGTAAGTTTTGTAGTGTTCAAGTGTTCACTGAGGAAGTAGATTCTTGGCTTACTACTACCTATATTTGATACTGTCATTCTATCAGAAGGTATCATAGAGGACATGTAAATGGGTATGACAAAGATCACCCAGTTAATATTGTGACATAAGAAGGATTTCCTCTTGGGCTGCCTGAGGTTGTCTCTCCCAGTGGCCAGCAGATAACTTGCCTTTTGAATAGCCAGCTCCTTGTCACATGGCAGCTGAATGCTGGTGGTGGAATGCCCTGGCCTTTGCAACTGTTATCCAACAGCAGACTCACAAGAATTCTGGAAGACTTCTCTTACTTCACAGGTAGAGGAAGTAGAACAAATATTAAAGGGGCTCATTCAAGTTTCTAAAGGATGGGGAGATGCCTAGTCCATCGGCATCTGCATTTCTCCAGCGATGCCGAATGAAAAAACCTAAGTACAGTATCCCCGTGAATTTGTTTGCTTACTCTCATGTCATCATTTACTGTCTCATCATCCAGCCAAAGAAGGTGCAATTCAACACAACTAACTCTAAGTTATTACATGGGTGATTTTTTTTAAATCTCATACGGTCAGTCTCAGCTCCCTTTTCAGTCTGTGGAGAGAATCAGATATGACTGAACTGCCCCAGATATCCTAATCAGATGGAGGTGAATCATATCCTGTAAACATCTGCATCTCTTCGGTGACTAGAAACCAAGCAGCTCAGATCCAAGCACCTGTGGTGACACAAATGCCATCCTCCATTCTGAGCAGGATTAAGGACACAGCTCTCAGTCACTGGCCTGTTCTCTTTTACATGATAATGAAGGGTGACATCAGCAACGATTGTGTGTTTGTTGAAAGCTCAGGAAAGCATTGCAGCTGCAGTCAGCTTGCCTGATGCTGCAGCTGAAGAAAGATGAAACAAGTAAGGTAGGGCCACTGAAACCAACTACTGCTTAAGATAAACACCTTATAAGTACAGTTCCTTTTACTTCAGTCTTACACTAAAGCTGAGGTTCTTGCAGCAAAACTGATAGTGCAATGACAGGGACATTCTTGAAGCTATGCTACCTGCGAAGCAAACCCTTTCACCTCAGGTACGGCAGGACAGCTTACAATAAGGCCATTCTGCATCTTGCAGAACTGAGAGTTTGAGTCTATAAACTTACCCCATATATACATATATATGTGTGTTTGTATTTTTACATGATACTCTGTGGGAAGCTAGAGGTCATACCATCATCTCTGATATGTAGGAAGGGGATGTTTATACTCACTGTCCTTCTGGTGCCACCGCACTGCATGCAGAAACGCACCGCAGTAGTGAAACATGAACTCGTGCCCAGAGTGCTGGACTGTCCCCTGCAGCAGGGGCAGCAAGGTGTGCCCATCGATCACCCTGATGGAGAAAACAAGAGTCATCAGACTGCTTAATGATTTCAATCTGCAGCTGGAGCATGAGCTGGACTTGCTTTCCATGTACCTGGCATTAGGATTTTCTAAACCAAGTTACTGTTTGTAGTGAGCCCTGAGGTTTTCAAATGTATGAATGGGTGGAGACCAGTGATTAGCAGTTAATAGCAGTTTTTGCAGTTACTGCTAGCTGACACATCCTGCCTGGGGAGGTAAGTAACCGTTGCTGTCATTTTCCTGGAAGTGAGCGATAACCACAGTGAAGGAATGGTTCAGGTTCACTGGTTTTAATTTTGCTACCTGAAACCACTGAAGTAATTGACAGCTCTGCGAGCTCCAGGCTTTGTTGAAACAAAAAAAAAAATATGCAAAAAGAGACTTACTGAATTGACTAACGGTTTACTTACACACCACCAGTAAGTTTATGCTTTTGCTGAAATGACTTAGCTACCCATGCTTTCTTGTGTTCTTTAGAGGAGTCTAACATAGATGCTGCAGGCTGTTTACTACTGAGGAAGCTAATTCTCTGGCACTGGCAGCCAAATGCAGGCCATGATCCATTTGCTCTACCTTCCCTACTCATGAATAACTGGGCTGCTTAGACTTCTGGTCCTAGTATTCTAACAGCACCAACCTACTTTGTGAAAGTCTGGATTTTTCATTTAAAAAAAAAAGTAAAAGGGGTGGCTTTGGTTGTGGGTTTTGTTTTGGGGTTTTTTAGGTTTCTTTGCAGTCATCTTAGTGTCCCAAATCAACCAGGTTGCCTTTCAGTGATTAGAAAGCTGAGTTAGCTAAATGACCCTTGGTAAAACATACAGTTCATTCCTTTGCTATTTCCCCTTCCACAGACAAGATGGCAAAAGCAACACACAAAGAAAGCTGGAGAGTTGCCTGGTTTAGAAGCAATTTGATCTGTGGCTGTTAGGATGCATGGCACAGACAATCAGCTTCTATCTAAATCTAAAAAGGAAAGCAAGTATGGTTTATGAAACCACTTCTGTACCTGTCCTTAGGCACTGCCCCTCCAGCCAGGTCAACTACTGTAGGGTAAATGTCCATGAGGCTTGTGGGTTCATCGATGACTCTCCCCTCAGGCAACACTCCTGGCCATCTAACTATTCCTGGGACACGGATTCCTCCTTCCCAGCCTCCCATTCCTTTTCCACCTGTTAGAGAAGGGGGGGAAAAAAGTGTCAAAAAAGAGAGAAGAACAAAAGATACCAGATGTTTATTATGCAGGCATAATAAAAAGTTTTAAAACTCTTAGAATATTCATGTAACTTTAATAAAAGCACTAAATCCTGGAGAACAGTAGAGTGACTACAGAGGAGATTCTGTTCTTGAAAAACATGTGTTATTAACTTCTTTATTTTATACTCCTTTCTTGGATGGCACATAGAACAACACACTACTAAGCAGCATTTTTGGCAGAAGAGGAATATTCCACCCTCCAATGCCTGAGAAGTCATTCTGACCAAGAACTTAAATAGAAGGTCACACTGAGAATACTCTCCACACTCCCTAAAAAACCGAAACCTCATAGTTAATAAAGTCCGTTAATTCATAAAAAGCAAAATCTGACAAGTCAATATAATAGAGGTTGCAGCCCTACTTGGTGCCTGAGGAAGGGAAATTAATACAGGGCAAGCTTGGTTGGCAGACAGTTCACAATTACCCATTCTGTGATTCTGTCTACTGTGAAAAACAAAAGGATGTTTCAAGTGAGACTCCAAAGAGTGTGTTCTGGATCTGTGTCAGGGCAAGTTCAGGTTGGACATTAGGAATAGGTTCTTTGCTGAGAGGATGATCAGTCACTGGAACAGGCTCCCTAGGGAAGCTGCCATGGCACTAAGCCTGTCAGAATTCAAGGAGCATCTGGACAATGCTCTTGGTCATATGGTTTAGATTTAGGCAGTGCTGCAAGGTGCATGGAGTTGGACTTGATAAGCCTTATGGGTCCCTTCCAACTTGAGATATTCTATGACACTACAAGATTTTCAAGTAGTGCTTTGTGTTATGGATAAAAGAATATGCTTACAGTATTTAAAGACACCATGGAACTAGCAGGGGAGTTCAAGTGTACTGGAGTCAAAGAAAGGATAAACAAGAGGGAACATAACAATACTGAAATACATGATGAGGAGTAAAGGAAGAATCTCTTCTCTGTAGATTGGTCAATAGAGCATAATCTGGCTTAAACTGCAGCAAGGAAATTTGAGGTAGGTACCTAGAAATAACCTCCAGTAGCATAGTCAATTAAAGATGGATTATCTGGGGAATCATGGAAGGTCTTTAAGAACAGGTTAGACAACATAGCTGCCAGGGTAGCTTTGGTGAAAGTGATCCTGACTGGGGGCTGAAAGATGCCCTGAATTTGTTCCAGCCCTACAATCCAAAATTATAATCGCAGCATACAGTTAAGTCATTAGAGTCTGTCTGCATGTATTTTATTCTATCATTTTCTTTTTAAGAGGAAGTCTTATGCATGTGCACACTACCAAAATTTTACCTTTATAGATTCCATTCCATCCACCTAACTGAGCATTTCCTCTGTGAGCCTCTAAGAATCCTCCATGATCAGATGCAAAATAAATGAATGTGGTATTCTTCAAGCCTTCTTTGTCAATAGCATCCAGAAGCCTGCCTACAAACAAAACCAAGTATCATAATTACATCAGGAGACAGAAGTTTTTTAGGTCTTGCCTCAAAATTCAGTGAAGACTGAGTCTTTCCAGGTGCCTGAATGAGTTCTGCTATGATCTACTACATGCAATGCAAAGAGTAATCTTGCATTACAGAAGCAACAAGATCCCAACAGAAAGTTGCTGATTATTTACAAAATTTGTTTGTGGTGTCTATAAAAACAGGAAAATAAAAAATAAAACCTATTTGGAAAATAATTTAAATGAGTGATCTTTTTATTCAAGCTGCTCAGAATACTCTGTCAAGCTTAATGCTGTAAACTCTAGGTCAAGTATTGTCTTGTGTAGCCTCAAACATCTTGAAAAGCTTAAGTAATAGTGCTACCTTGATTGCTAACCATAGAAAACTTCTGTGTCTCACTAGGAGCTGAACAGGGACTTTGAGATCAGGCTGCATGCTATCATCCGAAATCTTCTGATATTAGTGGTTAAAGCTTCACAGACTGTAATTCAAACCTAACTTCATAAGGAATATCTTTGATACTGATGTCATCAAATGTTTAGACAGAATATGATTTATCTGCGATTGGTTGTCCCCATTACCTTCTGCATGGAATATATTTGCCCAGAACAGCTTCCATAGCTATACAAGCAGGAGCAAAAGCTGAACCACACAAGGAAAAAGCATAAGTCAGTGGTCAGCTTTTTGTTCAATCTCTTCTCCTTTATAGACTTCCTGTGCCTCCTTGGTCAAACTAGTTATTGGCCTTACCTAAAACCTTTCTCCCAAAAAGAGTTTAGGTTGAGCATAGGCATATTGGTTCTGAATTACACTCCAAATCTCTTAACTGTCCAACCATGGAGACTTCTGTCCTTGTTAGCTACCATCCTGTTTTGGCTATACAAGGTACATTTCTTACATCATAGGACTTCTGTTATCCAGCTCTGCTTACATAGCCTGGACCTGAAGGTGACTGGTGTCAAAAATTTGAAAGAGGAGCATGGCAGAGTCCTCTGGTTCAACTGGATCTTGCAGGACTTTTCATCCTGCCTATAAGAAACTATCAGGTTCCTCTCAAAATACAATTTTGTAGACACGGTTGTTGGAGGAATGAAAGGTTCAGGGATTGAATCTTGGCCTGGGCAGGAGGTGATTACTTTTGCAATAGGGTTTTCATTTTTGATTATATACAAACAGTTGCTGTTCCCTTCCCTCCCATTGATGCAGAAAAGAACAACTAAGTAAGTTTTACATTTTTTAACCTAAGCAAACCAATTAGGAATTTAACCTGATTGGCACTCAGAACCTAGATTTAGATCTAAGTGAGTATTCACTGACTTCACATAATTTCTTAAGTGAAAATCCATATCTTTTTAACTTGGTCTTTTGGCTAGGAGGGAGTTCTGGTTAATTATTTTTTGATAAAAATTAATAGGTACACAAAAATAACCACTGTACAATGTAATATCCAGCAGCAGCACCACTTACATCTTCTGAGACCAGAGTTGGAGAAATGTCATAATTTTTGATTAACAGCGTGATTAAGGACATATTTGATTATTTGACTGCATTTAACACTTCAGCACACCAGCGTGCCAATTAAAAAAGGAAAGAAAAAAATCTTTACAAGGAAGGTTTAAGCTTTCATCTTCAGAAAGTAAAAAAAAAGAGGTGTGATAATGGTATGGCAATCTCTGAAACCAACTGTGTATCCAAGGCAAGCTCACTGATTTTTTATATATGCAAGAAGGGAGTTAGGATACCACCCCTTGCATTTCTTTTCCACATTCAGATGAAGAGTTTTCTTCATCACCATGTGATGCTCATGTCCTGACCAGGGTTTTGAGATCTGGCTCATAGCCTAGACCCATTTTGGGTGCTTTAAAAAAAAAAAATCTATATTAACTTGCTTTAGAGCTCCCTCCTGTGGAAATCTCTTGTCTTTCCCCTTGCTGCTGCTGCTCTCACTCCTGTTGCTGCCCTGGGTTGCCAATGTCCTCTGCAGAGTGAATCGTCTGCTTAACCCCAACAGCCACCCAAGATGTGACTCTCCAGAGCTGCTTTTCCAGGGAAGTGGTCACAGTGCCAAGCCTGCCAGAGTTCAAGGAGCATTTGGACAATGCTGTCAGGCACATGGTGTGATTCTTGGGGTCTGTGCAGGACCAGGAGTTAGACTCTATGATCCTTGTGGCCTCCTTCTAACTCAAGATATTCTATGATTTTATGATTCTATGATTCTGCAAGAGCAACACTTACCCACCATCCAATCCATCTCCTCTACATTATCTCCATACAGCCCATGCCTGCTTCTTCCCTGAAACTTTGCTGTAGTAATGAGAGGGGTGTGGACATGTAAAAGGGAAACAAAGAGAAGAAAAGGTCTATGCTTGTTTCTGAAATAAAAGAAAAGAATAGTCATTTCTCTGCAAACTGTCACTCAACCCAAAATATAACAGTGGCATTGCAGTGCCTATCTCAATAAATATTATTATTGTTGTGTTCTAAACAAATTTTTTTCTTATTTTGGCATCTTTTCACTTTTGAGGCTTTGAGACACAGAGATTAAAGCACCCCTCAAAAATATTCATACTGTAATTAAGACCAAAACAATAATGGGCCTTTTCTTTTATCAGTTCCAAATTAGACATGTGTAGAACATTAAATAAACAACTAGGAGATGTCATAGCCAAAAGACTAATACACTCTCAGAGGCAAGGAGAAAGGACTTGCTTGCTTCAACTTAAACATGGATGTCACCAAGAGTCTGAAGCATCCTCACAGAAGAAGCAGACATGACACTGCACCACAGGGGAGTCATCAACATCACACCAAGTAGAGTATCCTAGGAACCTGAGCTTATGCCCAAAGGTGTACACAAAGGATTTATTTCAACTCCAATTTCCTTTACAAAACAAACATACAACCCCCTTAACCCTGACAGAAATAGTAGAATCTTTTTCAATGATGTGTCCAAAGAATATTTTTATACACATGAAAACTTTTAAGGGCTTAGTGGTTCGTTCAATTCCAGCTGAGGTTACTTATAGTAAATGAAGGATATCTTTGGTAAAAAAACCCCACACCCACCCAAAAAAACCCCAACCAACCAACAACCCAAAACTCACTATCCCCCTGGAAAATATTAACTTTCTATGACAGTTCATTCACCAGGCTAGGATTGTTTTTCTTTCCTATTGGCAGAAAGCACAGTCCTTGGCCAGGACCCATTTGGATCAGGTGAACAAAACAAACACCAAAGAAATCATCTTCCTTTTGTGAAGAACTGACAAGCGATGTATAAGACAAAGAACATTAGTTGGATGCTGACAGATAGGGAGATGCCAGAAAACAACAAATTACTGGCCAGCATCAGGATGGAGAGTTCAGCACACCAGCTACCTAACCTAGTGGTGTATGATACAATAATCACACTGTTTTTAAAAATCCTTAAAATGCAATGCAATTTTGCTGGTTACCTTTCAATGAATGCAATTGCCTCCTTCAGCATATTAGAAGTAGTTTTTTCTAGATCCATTGGTTGTTCAGTGATATCATGGTTTCTCATCAGGATACAGTTCCAATACTTGGTGAAACCATAGCTGGAGAACCAGGAGATGAAATACAGGAGACCACAAATGGCGAAGAATATGATTATTTTCCATTTGACTGAGAATAAATTGACAAGTTTTCCAATCACAAGAGTAAACACTGCAAGGATGATCATCTGTGTGTAAAACCAATATGCATCTTGCAAAGACTTGGCCAGTTCAGGGTCATCTGTGCCTTGACACTCGTTCACAAGGGTAAAAGGCATGCCATAAAAATAATCAAATCCATGATTCAAAGGATGGTGGCAGTGATCATGGCGTGTTTTGCAGTTCACACCCATATGCCACTTCCCTGAAAATATAAAACAAAGATCTTAAATCAGACATTGTGACTCTTGAGTGTGTCTGCCTGTATTTCTGAGGTTGTCTGCACTCCTCAGTTAAGGTGCAGCCAAAGGAGAAACTGGTGTGGAATGGGGACACTCTCAGGGAGCAGTAGTGCATTGGTGCTTTATCTCTCTAGAACAGCTGTTTTTCCTCACCTATCTGTTAGAATTCCATGTAGAACAATGGCCAGTTCAAACACCTCCCTGAATAAGAACAAATAGGGTTGCAATAGTTGACCATGTATTAAGGGTGATCTGATGGGGAGAAAATGGAGAAAGCTTTGTGCCAAAAGAAACAGCTAAGTGCAAAAATATGAACCAGTTTATACACAAGTTCTAGCTGACCTTCACAGTCCAGGAACAAATTTCAGGAAGGAGGTGTACATATTGGCTCTGTGTGTCTATATTAATCCTAAAATGAGTAGCAGAAATAGGTCAATTACCCAGTACAGCTGGACATATCAGAATGTGTCACACACTGATAACGAACCTTAATGAAGTCATATTACAGAGCAGTGTAATTATCCTGACATTGAAAGACAGACAGCTTATAGCCATGAGCTTAGGGGCTATTACCTAGACAAATAACTTCTGAGAACTGCTGACCAGCTCTGTGCTTGTGCATATGAATGTAGTTTACAGTAGAAGCTATATCAGACAGCAGTAAGCAGAGTGTGAAGTCAGATCAGTAAGACTTGCTTCAGTTTAGGAACCAAATGACACCTCAGTGTGCAGAGCTGAGCAGAGGTGTGAAAATCACAGTAATTACAATTAAGCACATGACACCTTTGACTACATTAAAAGAAGTTTAAAAATGAGAGGAGCTTGAAAGACACAGCCTTTAATTGCTGTTCAGGCAAAATTAGCAAACAGTTAAGAGGATTTTCTTTTTTTTGGACACATTTTGATCCAAGACCCACTGAAGTCACTGGGGCTATTGCAGCTTTTTTTGACAGTTTCCTTTTGCAGAAATTAAGGGAATTCTAGTGTCATAACTGTGGCAATAAGCAGAATGCTTAAATATCAGAAAATCTAGCCACCAGATATCACAGAATGACAGAATGGGTAAGGTTGGAAGAGACAACAGTGAGTTTTCTGGCCCAACCTCTCTTCTCAAGCAGGGTCATACTAGAGCACCTGGCACAGGATTGTATCTAGTCCTTTTGCAGAAATTAAGGGAATTCTAGTGTCATAACTGTGGCAATAAGCAGAATGCTTAAATATCAGAAAATCTAGCCACCAGATATCACAGAATGACAGAATGGGTAAGGTTGGAAGAGACAACAGTGAGTTTTCTGGCCCAACCTCTCTTCTCAAGCAGGGTCATACTAGAGCACCTGGCACAGGATTGTATCTAGTGAGGGACTATTACCTAGACAAATAACTTCTGAGAACTGCTGACCAGCTCTGTGCTTGTGCATATGAATGTAGTTTACAGTAGAAGCTATATCAGACAGCAGTAAGCAGAGTGTGAAGTCAGATCAGTAAGACTTGCTTCAGTTTAGGAACCAAATGACACCTCAGTGTGCAGAGCTGAGCAGAGGTGTGAAAATCACAGTAATTACAATTAAGCACATGACACCTTTGACTACATTAAAAGAAGTTTAAAAATGAGAGGAGCTTGAAAGACACAGCCTTTAATTGCTGTTCAGGCAAAATTAGCAAACAGTTAAGAGGATTTTCTTTTTTTTGGACACATTTTGATCCAAGACCCACTGAAGTCACTGGGGCTATTGCAGCTTTTTTTGACAGTTTCCTTTTGCAGAAATTAAGGGAATTCTAGTGTCATAACTGTGGCAATAAGCAGAATGCTTAAATATCAGAAAATCTAGCCACCAGATATCACAGAATGACAGAATGGGTAAGGTTGGAAGAGACAACAGTGAGTTTTCTGGCCCAACCTCTCTTCTCAAGCAGGGTCATACTAGAGCACCTGGCACAGGATTGTATCTAGTCCAGTGAGGGAGAATCCACAGCCTCTCTGGGTTCCAGTGCTTGGTCATCCGCACAGTAAAGAAATTCTTCCTTGTGTTCAGGTGAAACTTTCTATGCATCAGATTCTGCCTGTTGCCTCTTGTCCTATTGCTTAGCATCACTGAGAAGAGCCTGACACCATCCTCTTGACACTCTCCCTTCAGATACTTGCAGATGTTGGTCAAGTCCTCTTCTCAGTCATCCCTTCTCCAGGCTGAACAGGCCCAACTCTCTCAGCCTTTCATTGTATGAAAGATGCTCCAGTCCCTTCATTATCTTCATTATTGATTAATAAGTTAAACAATACTGGGCCCAGTATTGACTTTGGGGACACCACTAGTGACAGGCCTCCAACTAGACCCTGTGCCACTGATTACAACCCTCTGGCATCTGTCATTCAGCCCATTCTGAATCCATCTCACTGTCCACTTTTCCAGTCCACACTGCCTGAGTTTGTCTAGGAGGATGTTGTGAGAGACAATGTCAAAAGCCTTGCTGAAGTTGGTATAATTAAGACCACTGTGAAGTCTGGGTACCAACTAGCATACAACATTTTTCTGTTCTAACAGACCAGTCTCTCTCTGATGGCACTTCCTAAAGCAATCTGTACTGGGCAAATGAGATTCTTTCCTTTGAATTTACTTCCATTTGCAGTGTGTATCTATGTATTCCATACATTCTCATTTTGGATTTATCAGATAGGCTGTACTGATGCTGGGGCTTGTGGATAGCATTCTAAAAACCTTGATGATTTTGAAACTTATGTATATACAAAAATCTAGTTTAACTAATCTGAGACACTTTGGCAAAGTCTTTACAGAACCAGCTTAATTTGAATAACAAGCAATGAAATGGTGACAAGTTGCTATGCCTCTTACCTACAAGTGCTGTAGAATAACCTTGCTGGTGCAGTATTCTGGCAAATGTAGTTTCATTTGGTGGGAGTCCCCCAGAACACCCATTCCAAAAGAGAACCTGCCTTTGGGTGCTGGATGCCATGCCTAGAGAGGAATAATAGTCTTTAAAATAAAACAAGCCAGATCTCAGATTTTCAGTCTTTTCAGATTGTGCTTCCTAATGAAATGGACTCAGTTGCCTAAGCCTAGTGCCTTTTTATAAAGCCTTTTAATATGCCCTGGGATATTCTGATTGATCTCCAGAGCAATATCTCCTCTAAGTCCCATGCCATTATCTGCTAGTCCAATGCAGAAGCCTAAGCTATGCTGGAGTGTCTACAAATGGCACTAAAATGCCTATGCTTGGACATTAGGCAACCTTTTACAATCAAAGTTCTATCAAAATATAATGTTAAAAAATAAAATTAAAAAAATGTTTAACATAGAGCAAAGGACTTTACAGAGTTGGGTACAAGCCTCTGAAATGTACAGTTCATGATTTAAGTTCTGCTTGGGCAAGTCAAAATATACACTGGTTATTTCTACAATATTCAGTGGCTGAAGTTTTCTGTCATGAATTTACATGGCTGAAGTAAGTATGTTTTAAAACATAATTGTTGAGAACTATTCCACAGTCTGATACATTTCACTGTGCAAAGGTTTGCCAGAATATTGAAAATATTACACTTAATATAAGCTTAATGCCACTGGACATTGAGTTTACACAATATTCTTCAAGCTTCTGACTCTAGTTGCTTTATGCTGTTTGAATTTTCATCCATTTCTGTGTTGTCATGTAGCCACATTAAATGTGCTTTATGTGGGGATTTTCTCATAGAAATCAATCATTAGTCATCTCTATTTTTGACCATCTCATAGACACCCCAAATCCCAAGATTAACTAGTCTTTAAAATGGTTTATTTAAGGGGACTTTTAATATCAACACTGGCTAGACAAACTGCAGCAAACCATTAGAGAGAGGCCCAACCTGATCTGATAGGGTATCTGCCAGTCAGGAAAGCAGCTCTGCTTGGAGTGCAGACAGCAGCTGCAGCAATGTGCTGAGTAAGTCTCACTCCATCCTTTGCTAGGCCATCAATGTTAGGGGTCCTAAAGAGAAAAATCCCATCTCTGATAAAAATGTATGACACAGAATCTCACTGTATCCTACTCCTCCTGGTTTTGTTGAGAACATCCCCATCAAATCCATTAAAATCTGTTAACCTACAACTAGAAAAGCTCTGTTACAATTTTTTGAGATACCTTGACTCCTTAGAAATTAATTATCCATGGATACATGTGTTTTTATGAATAATTAAAAAAAAAGGAGAAAAAAAGGAGAAAGTATTTCAGGCCTATCCCATATCAAAATCTCATGCAGCAGTGAAAAAGTCTGTTAATAAATACAGTACAACACAATATCCAGGACTATAACAGGCTAGAGCAGAGACAGGATATATCTACAATCATTCTGTTAATCAATTTATATACAGATTGATAACTCCACTAGGGATAAATATATCACATAGGCTGAGTTGTCATTTCATAACAAGCCTACTAGAGTTGTTAACTGATGTTCTAATCTCAGTCCTTCATATTTGAACCCTGGAGTTGTGGAAACTTATATATTATACACATGCCTGACAAATACAGTGCAGAGACACATTTGCAAAGTACTAAGTCCAAGAAAGTTGCTCATGAATGCCTGTACAGTTATGACTCCAGCAGGGCTTACTGTACAACATTTACTTTGGACATAGTTTGAAAAGAAGTGTATCTAGACAAACTAATCCATTAGAATTTTCTAATACTAAGTATCATTAGTGTTTTTTCATTGAAGTTCACCGGGAAGGGATAATTTATTTCTTACCTTATAGTATCATTGCCATAACAACCCACATCTCCAATACCAAGATCATCAGCCAGTATCAATAAAACATTGGGTTTTGAAGGATCTGATACACAAGTTCTTGGAAACAGCCATAAAATTACCCAAATGCTTAGGTAGCTCCTAAAATTAAAAGTAGAGGTAAGATTACAAGAAACTTTGGTAAGTTTTACAATAGACTTTAAACTATTGAAGTTTTATGGGGACTCAGTATGGGTGCAAACAGCTACCAAACAGTGCCAGCAGATGGAGCTCCTGAATATTTATAAAAGTCCTTGAGTTTTCTACTATCAGTATTATTATTGTTGTTTTTATTATTATTAATCCACACAGACATTTTGTGTCTGCTTTTCTTTATTGACATTTACATTGATCTCAGCAGATGTTCCCAGCAGAATGGGACCCACTGCTACACACAGCACCTGGAAAGTGCTCCTTAACCCATGGGACCATCTCCAAAATCAAGGTGCAGCAAGAGGCTTAAAATTGATTATCTTACAAGAAGACCCTAAGAATATCTCTGCACATGCTTTAGTTGCTCAAGATGTTTGCAATAGATACAGATATTCAGCTGAAGTAAAATACATATGCTAGAACACATCATCTGACTCCTAGTTCATTAATAGATACTACAATGGGATAAATTCATAGTAAAGGTACTATACTATATATTATATATACTCCTAAACATCCATGTCTAATAAAAGTCAAGTAAAAGGTCTTGAAATACCAATAGATCCAAACCAGTATTAGCAGCTGTTAGATTCCAAATGAGTTGAGGTGGGGGTGGAGGGGAGAAAGGAACAGATCTGTTTACATTTTCTTAAGCACAACACTTAAAAGCCATAAAAGACCCTCAATGAATGTCTTTCTTACCATTGTTTTCCCTGGCAAACTTTATAGTTTTCCCTTGTATGAAACAGGTACATAGCTGGTCATATAAATCCTGGTGAAAAAGGAATGAAAAACATCAGAGCCCAGTTATTTCTGGTGATCTTGCATGCAATTTTGCAAGATCTGGCATGTTCCCAGCTGCAAACAATTCCAGAAGGACTTGTGAGAGTTTGGAAAGAATAAGACTAAATGCTCATGGCTTTAAAACAGTGCTAAAGATGCCTATTACTCTATACATGCACAGAACTGTTGGTGTTCACTGAATGGAAGGTTTTCACCATTTTAGAAATGAGCCAATGCTAAGTAAAATTAGTATATCTCTTTTTACTTAATCTCAAATAATCTGTTAGGAAAAGTATCTAACCCTTATTGTGAGTTTAGAAACTATAAAAATATCTCAAATCAAAGTCACCCTGGAAACTAATAATTGCAGTGTAATTCTTAGGGAAGGGACTGTAGTGTTCTTATGTGTAAATGTCATCTAGTACATTCAAGGAGGTGTTTCTATCTGAAGGTTATTAAAAACTATGCAGAATCTTTATGATTACTATGAAGCATAAAAACACTTCTAAACACAGAAAATCAAAAAGTTCCATCTTGACTAATGAAAGACTTGTGGGCTTTTTTTTTTCTCCAAAAAACTGCAGGAAAATACAGCATTTTCTGAGAATGATTTTTCTGCCTTTTTAGTATGTAACAGTGTTGCCTCGAATGTCTGAGGAATACAAAACTAGCCAGAGCAAAGTATAATCCTGACCTATGCATTTCAAAGGATGAGCCATAGGATAAAAAAATTGCAGATACTGTTATCCTGACCAGGACAACAGTATTAAAAGAGTCAGAACCTGGGACCCATTGATGATTTTTCCAAGTAACATCTAGATGCTTGTTTGGCTATGGGAAGTTTAAAAACCCCCAACAAAACAAACAGTACAACAAAACAAGCAAACAACAAAAAAGCTAAAAAAACACCCCAAACTTGAACTCTGTTAGTTATGGAAATTTCTGTGGGGTTGATGATATTTCCCCCCACTGCTGGCAAGATCCTGAAAAGCAATACTGAGAGCTCATCCTCCCTAACCAGTGGCAGAGTAGATAACTGGAGTAGCAGCAAGATCCTCTGGCTGTTTGAAGCAAGACTTTACAGTAAGTGCAGGTGCCAGAAGCCCAATATCATGCCTTGAAAACAGGCTATATTAACATGAAGTAAAGGACTTACTACTAGGATCTCAAACTTATTTGAGATGGCAGTGTAGTAGTGTTTCACTATTACAGCCTGGTCACCATTCCCCTGAAATCCTGAGGAACTATGGTCCTGTAGGACAGAGCTGGTGGGATGAACCATATAGTCCATGAAGGATAGTCCATGAAAGCATTAACCCACAAGAACAGAAAACTAGGGATGGCTCTGGTACTCATCTATAATGGGAACATCTTTATGATGCTTTAACACAGCTCTGCCATCCCAGGAACTGGCAGGCAGCATTGCATTTCAAGAGCATGTGGTGGTACATGATTAAGCCAAGACTTTTGCAATGAATATGTTCTCAGTCTACACCAAGTAGCTGAGGATCATCACAGCCCTTGTGAGCTGCAGTGGAGCAAAGGAACAAGACAGATCTGGACACCTAAGAAATCCCTTGACTTTCTGTGGGTGTTGATAAGCTTTCCAAGATGGTACAACAGCTCTGCTGCCTTCCACTTTCTCCCCACAGGTTCTTGTATCACAGCCAGCTGGTCACAGCAGGCACTTTGGTATTTAGACAGAGACTTCTACAGTCCCTCAGGAAAGCTGTGAACCTCCAGCCAGGGAGGTGCACTGGTGGTATTAAAAGATACTTGGGTCTTAATACCATGGACTGTGGCATCATCTGATTTACTGCAAGCCGTTTCAGGAGCATTACTCTTCCTGAAGGACTAGAAGTACCACCACACTTATACAAAAAATCCCCACAATTTAAAAATGCATATTTGTATTTCTCTGTTAGGGGTTGATTTTTCCTGAAAGCAAAGCTCTCACTGACAGAGCTTGGATGTGATATACCCAATACTGGGCCCTAGGGCTTGTCCAGTTTCCTTAGCTGTTATATGAAAAAAACCCCAACTTAAGTCATAAATCTAACAGTGGCCTCTAGAAATCAGCAATTTCTTTCTCAGAGAAATCCAAGAAAACGTAAGATAGTAATTCCCTCTGTAAGCCAGTAAGCCACAATAAATGATTATCAGGACTAAGAAAAAAGGCTAATCCCTTTTAGCAATGTGGAACACAAACCCTTGTCTCAATTATTCTTCTTGCTCCGAAAGCCCTCTTGCTCCTTGGTGTGCCGAGCTGTCCTGATCCTCTAAGAAGTGTGTGGATGAAAGCAAACTGGGATTTGCTCCTTTTCCTCTTCTCTCCCTTCCCCCCGTCCAGCATGGACACCAGCTGGGATCCCTGCCAGCAACAGCCAGCAAACTGGAACAGCCAGCAAACTGGAACTGCTGTGCAGGTTTTATGAGTATTCTGGGCAGAGTACAAAGTCCTTACTCTTGAAACACTGGCACAATGTGGCTAGTGCCTTTTCTAGATTCCCTAGCCAGTTAATTCCGTGCAGATATGTGTAAAGTCTGTCACTGCTCTATTTCAATGCTCCAAAAGAGATGCTATAAATAAGGATGAGAGATGATATAAAATGCTTTGTTTTTCCCACACACAGCTTTTCCAGCTTTCTAGATGGGATAAACAGACTAGCTTGTTCTCATTCTTTTCTATCATGTTGTCTTTTTGTTTTCTTTGCATTTTCACAAAAGGTAGATCTACCTGTGCTGAAGATATAAATTATGGTTTCAAGAACTGAAAATTTACTATCCACCCCCATCTCCCCACCCTTTCTTTCAGACCTTAACTCTGTTATAATACTTTTTACAATTCAAAAGGCTTTGAACAATTACTCTCTAATTGAGCTCTATTTGTTTGCTGACATTTCAGTTCTGTGAGTTACTTGAACACAGTGACTACTGAATTTAAGACTGTGTTCTAGGCAAGTCAGTAGAAGTCAGTGAGGTGGAAAGATGAAGCAGCTTAAACTATCAGATTCATACAATCTGGTGGCAGAGATAACCAGGGTTGGAGGCAGTTTTTTATTTGCTAAAGTACTTATGTTTGCACTTATGACTACATTCAGTTATTTCTATAAGTTTTCACATTGGGCTAATTTTACTCATATCTATTTGATTATAATACTTACTTTGTATGACTGCTTAGCATCTTGTGATGCTCCTGGTGCAAAGATTTTTCTCAAAAAAATTATACTTCTCAAAAATGTACATCATGCTATGGGAAAGACAGATCTTTGAAAATCACCAATAATGTAAGTATTAATTTTCACCTGGTTTTGGTTCAAATTATGACTAAACATTTCTTCCAGCCTTTCTAGACTATTCACATCTTTCTTACCCTGTGTTCTCTACTGAAGATGTGACTATGCTGCTTCTGGTTGGACTTAAAAATGCAAACTGTAATAAACCCTAACCCCCATCCCAAAATCCCACACCTTCACATTTTTCCCTGCTAAGAAAACTCTATCTGGAAGCAGAGATCTTGCCTTCTGCTCCTCACCACTATGTTAGTGACAGTACAGAGGTAACAGCTGTGATTACTTATTGTCTTCAACAGAACTAAATTTCAGACAGACTTCTTCTAAAAAGCAAATAAAAATAAGAAGTAATATTGAAGCAGAAAATAGATTATTTTTATCTCTGCATTTTGAGCTCTGCAGTATTTCCTCCTCTGCAGCTAACCAGTTTTCCACTGTGCCTGAGCACAGGAAGCTGCTGTTTACTCCCTGCTGCATACAGGCAAATTCTCTGCCAGCAAAAACTTCTTTTTTTTGAGTCACTGTGTGCTTTATACTGCCGTTTTCTTTCTGGCTTTTCACACATGTCTGAGAACTAAAAGCAATCACTGACCTTCATTTACCACTTTCTCCCTTGACAAGCTTTCTGAGCAAACTTACAGTAGTGAAGAATATAAACATTGAAATTACACAAATAAAAATTTGTGAAATTGCTTCTATGTCACATTTTGGAAAAACCCATGAAGAGACAAGAAGAAAAGAATTAACCAACTAAACTGGCTGAGCAAGTGAAGTGTTTGCAGGGCTCTTTGACAGGCAAGGTAAACAACAAACAAACTACAATGATCTTTTTCCATTCAGTAAATTCAAATCCATATTTCTCTAGCACTCTAGCAGTACACTTATAATAAACTCTGACTTCATCTACTATTGCAAAGACACAGCCATTAATACAATTCAAAGCTGTAAAATCTGTGCAATTTCACTGCAAAATGCAGTGCAAAGTCAAGTCTCTCTAGAGTGTCTGGCTAGAGTAATGCCCTGAAGGTTTTTGGTTTTGTTGATTTGGGTTTGTTTTGGTTTGTGCTTTTTTTAAAACTAGTATTGGCAAGACTCCTTTCTACAAGTTGCAGTTTGTAAAAACATATATACTGCTAGTGAATATTTTTCACTCAATTATGACTCTCAAATTAACCTTGTTTTTCTAGAACTGACATTGGAACAGTGCAAACTACTAATCTAAAACATTTTGATTAGCATCTTACATGCAATAAAATTGTTTTTGCCAAATTAGTATGCAGAAGGACTTTTCCTCTGAAGAGCAAAATGATTCTCTCTCTTTTGTGACTGTTGTAGAGGTTTAACTGTACATCAGCACTTTGTGCTTTATAGTGTCTGTGATACATCCTATTTTTACCCAGGTAAAGCTGCAGATCACAAGTTCACAACTTGAGGACAATTCCTCAATAAATCAGATCTGCTTCATCTCAGGTGTTGTTCAACACCTCAATATTTCTGCAGAGATAACAAAGCAGTACAGGGAGCACTACTGACTCAAACTACTACGTTTGCATTGAGTTCAGCTGTGATTTCTGGACTGTAGAGGCACAACTGCAAGCATCTAGAGTTTTACATGAGCCTAACATTTCTTACTGCAGCCTGCTCAGCACTGTACACTAGGCTCTCTGCAGCATCCTCCA